CAGCGCCGCGCCGGCGCCGGAGCCTCTCCCCGCCCCTGTGCCCGCCGCCTCCAAGTCCCCTTGCCCGCGGTGCAGTTCCCCTCGCCCCTGAGCTCCGATTCCAGGGCTCTGACTGGCCTGTGGGAGTCACGTGCAAGGGCGGGGGCGGGGGTGCGCGGCTCAGGCTGCAGCTCCGCTGGGCGCCTGGCTGCGGGGCTGTTCCAAAAGCTGCTCCAGCAGGCAAAGTCCAGGCGCCAGGGTCTCGCAAAACACAAATTGCTACTTCCAGGGCACCGGGCTTCACCCACCGCTCAGCCTGAGATCGATTCAGTTTGCAGTTTTGCCCAGGGTCAATTTTATTACTTAATTCCCTATTTTTCTTCCCCCCTCCTCGGATGGGGGAGGGGCTAATGGAGTGGAAGGTAACCTCTGCGGCTGAACCCCGGATCGCGAGTGGGGCGTCGGCTAACCACAATTTTTCGGACGGGACTCGGGGAGGGCGGGGATCCTCCCAGCCCTTGACTACCCGCAGGTTTAAGGAGACACCAAATCCCGGACTGGCTCCCAAAGTCAGACGGAGGCCCTAACCTTCCTTTTGCTTTCGCAGCAACCTGACAAGATCACAAGGCGCCTAGAACACCGGTTCCAGCCCTCAATTTTTTGTATTTATGCAAAACATGCACCCTTCCTGCAGAGGCTTCCCATCTCCTGAGGCCCCCCCCCTGCCGATGTTTCCCAGTTTTCTCTGCAGCCTGCTGCGGCCGCTGCACCAACCCAAGGGATTTGGCAGAGGCTGCGGGGAGCTGGGCAGTCCAGGGGAGTTTCTCCGTGGAGAAGGCTTTCTCAAAGGCCTCAGTCTGACACCTGGAAGGAGGGCGAGGAGAGTGTCAGGCTAGAGTTTGGAGTGGCGTCAGTGCCTGGAGGCCCCTGCGCTGCGGGGCTGGGAGCCAGAGAGTCCCTCAGACAGGTCTAAAGGTTAATAGAGCAATCACAGGGCCCTATTACTGCTTAAAAATAACCCATCGATTACCGCAGCCTTCAGCCCCAGATAACAGCCGGCTGGTGACTCTCACGCTTTTGGTTAGACTTTAAAAAAGAAAGAAAGAAAGAAAGAAACCTCCGCGTTTGTCTCCCGGAATCCCAGGACACAAATTTCTCCCACCAGATTGGAAGGTTCGGGAGGGAGCAGAGATTCCACCCTATACAAAGGAAGGGTAGAGAGGACACCCGCTTTCTCAGTTGGAAAT